GATTTACCAATTTACCAAGATAATTAAAAGAGCTTCAATTGTTGGCTGCCACCCATTGCTGCATTCAGAGACAACGCTCACACCACCAAGTTTAGAAATGAGTGATTTATAAAACCCAAGCATTCACATGCTGAATCAACGGTGTACTGAGGCTACGCTTGTCAACAGCATCCTCATTGAAAAATTCATCGCCCACTAAGGAGTCATCTTCCTCTACCGAGGAGAACATTCAAGAGCCCAAGGCCATGATCTCGTCGTTATCATTAGTGTTGATGATGGAGAGCAATGGATCGTTAAGTCATCGTCGCTGTGAACGTTTAGTTTATAGATTTAAAATCATAATTCAAAATCATTTTTAATTTACGTGTGTTTTTTATGAGAAAAAAATACTGTTACGAATCACGAATTATGATTCAAATCATAATACGAATACATCAACCAAACGCACGATTCGTTGAGTCACCTTGGAATGAGACTCGCCATCACGACACGTACCATCGCAACCTCATGGATATGAGGGATGAATAGATCGAGAAGAGGGAGCGAAGTGTCATGAGGAGAGAGATTATGCATTTCAAATATGGTCTATTTTTTTCCATTTATTTTGCTCTCCTACAATTTGCTTATTTGAGTTTAAAATGTGGCGCGGTATTCTATGGAGGGAAAATTCGTGCTAAATAAGTTTAAGGAATATTTTTATAATTGTCTTCTGACTTATGTATCTTAATTTAAAGTGTCTCTAATATTTTAAAATCGTTTAAAATATCTCTCGATATATAAAAAACATATTAAAATATCTCATCTGTCCACTTTTGTTTATAAATCTAACTGGAATGCTGACGTGTCATTGCCATTTTACATTAAGTGATATATGAAGGCCCTATTTATTTCACATATTTGAGTTTTGCTACAGTAAAAAAATTTCAGAAATAATCACATTTAATTTTTTTATTACAGTAAAAAACTCTCACATAAAGTCACATCTCAACTCGAATCAGCAAACTAAACGAACCCTAAATTCTAATTAACTTTATTAAAATGATTCAAGTATTAAAAAATAATAAAGAATAGCAAAAAAATATTAAAGAAGAAAAAAAAAAGCTTGATATACTACAATTAATAAAAAAAAATCAAAAACCCCAAAACAAGGTCGTCTCCTTCCTCTAGGTTTTAGTTGCAGACCCAAAGATAACCCACACACCCTAATCAGTTTTCATGGCCAAACATGTGAGTCCTGCACATCCCCACCGGAGATCTTGCCAACTATCCCCATCCCCAACTGTGACCCACTGCACCTAACCGAACCCAGCCGAGCCTCATCCTAATCACGCCGCCCACTTAGCGAACCCCAGCCTAATAATGTCGCCCACCTCGCGAACCCAGCCATCCCAATCGCACCGCCCACCTTGCGAACCCAATCAAGCCACCTCACAATCGTGCCGGACCTCCAACCTTGGCTGTTGTGAAATGTGAATGAGAGTTGGATTTTTTTTCAGTTTACCAAAGAGAGGAGAAGAGGGGTTGAGAGAAAAATGGTCGTTTAAATTTTTGGTATTTACTTTCTTTTAGTAAACAGAGAAGAAGACGAAGAAGATGGAAGACGGGGAAGAATTGGTTCTACGTTTGTTTTGTTTAATCAGTTTGATCCATTTTTATTTTTGTTTTTCTAATTTTTGTTTTGGGTGTTTTTTCATTAGTCTTTGGAATTTAGAATTTTATTGTTGTGTCATTTTATATTAAGTAATTAATTTTTTATTAATAAGTAAGATTTATATTTTAAAATACTTTTTATAAACTTTTAATCATGTGTAAACTGTTTTCTATAAATTAAGAGATATTTTAAATAATTTTAAAAAATTAAAGACATTTTAAAATAAAGTACATATTTCAAGAGATATTTATAAAAATAATTCTAAGTTTAATTTAAAAATCAAAAAGAAAAGAAAAGAACGTGTAGTAGTATAAGAACATATTTTACAAGGAAATTGGGGTGGGTAGCATAAGTTGATCCCACCCTCAGATCACGTAGCTACAATATATATATATATATATATTTACCAATTTGGCTATTTCTACGGACTGAGGTCTATGTTACCACCTAAGAGTAACGCTCAGCCATAACGAAGCCCGTTGCCAATTTCTTATGCTTTTGGGTAAAAACCTTCTATGCGAGAAAAAAATAAAAAAATAAAAAAGGAAATGCAGCCTAAAGCATATTTTGAAATCATATTTGAAGTTAATAGCTTAATTTTTAAATATATTAACTTCGTAACATAATTAGGTAGTATTATAATTATTTAGGGGTTGTTTTTTTACATTTTTAAGTTATGGTAACTTGAGTGATGATCTTAAGTTAAGTTTGAATTATAACTTGAATTGAAATTATAACTTGAGTTTGCGCTTGAATGTGCATATTTAAGTTATGATTTAAATTGAGAATCTTTTTGAGTTTGTGTTTGGGTGGATTAAAACTTAAATTTATATTTATATAGTATTTTAATAAAAACTCAATGGTAATGAAAAATTTTAATAGGATATATGGGTAGGGTTGTATTCGTCTTTTCATTGTGAATGAATAGAAAAAAAATTATCTTAATCAGAATTAAAATAAAAAAAGTTATAACATTTTTAATAATAGAAAAAATATTGTTCATTAACTTGAGTTCGAGTTTATAAACTCGAGTTAAAGGGAAAATGTCTCGTTAATTTCACTGATTCGAGTTTAGAATTTGAGTTTTATTACAGTCAAAAGTTCTCAGAAACAGTCACATCTAACTTTTTTACTACAATAAAAAGCTCTCACATAAAATTACATCTTAACTCGAATTAAAAACTCGAATCAGCGAACTCAATGGGCCCTTAAACTCAAATTTAGTCTGAAAATCAAATTCAAACTCAAATTTTATAAAAGAATATAAATTTGAATAAAATTATAACTCGAGTTCAAACTTTTTCTGAGTTTCGTTGTAAAAGAATAACACCTTATTTTTTTCAAATTTACCTCTCCACCTTTCCTTTGTTTTTTTTTTTTCTTTTTTCTTCTTCTTCTTTTACGTTTTCTTCTGAGTTCTCTCTCTCCTCGTTTGGATTCTCCTCTCTCTCACCAGCTCCGACTAGATTGCGAGACGGCGACGGCGATGACGAGACGGCGATGATGATGAGATCTACTCTCACAGTGACCCCTAGAACCAAATCCTTTTCATCCAGATTCCGTCTCGCGACCAAATCTGACCAAATCTCGCCAGTGCGTGAACTAGATCCCGGAGGTCATCAGAGATCGAATTTACTCAACCGTTTCGGGAATCACACACACACACTCTCTCTCTCTCTCTCTCTCTCTCTCTCTCTCTCTCTCTCTCTCTGTGTTTTGCTTGTTGTTTTTTGCAAAAGATCTCACCGGATTTAGGATTATTTGCCTATTTCTTCGTGTCTTTTCTGTGAAGGCATGGCACAGATCGAGAGACGATGATATGTTGATCTTGGATTTTTGTATCTTTGAATCTGAGGTATATTTTAACTGAATATGATAAATATTGCATATATTAAAAAATATTGCAGTAGTTATAAATTTTAATCGATAAATACTGTATTTATTAATAAATATTTTAATAATTATAATTTTAAATATAATAAATGCTCTCTCTCTCTGTTTTTTTGCAAAAGATCTCACCGGATTTGGGATTATTTGTATATTTCTTCGTGTCTTTTCTGTGAAGGCATGGCACAGATCGAAAGACGATGATATGTTGATCTTGGATTTTTGTATCTTTGAATCTGAGGTATATTTTAACTGAATATGATAAATATTGCATATATTAAAAATATTACAGTAGTTATAAGTTTTAATCGGTAATTACTGTATTTATTAATAAATATTTTAATAATTATAATTTTAAATATAATAAATACTATATTTATTGATAAATATTGTATTTATCAATAAATATTTTAGTAGTTACAAGTTTGTATCTGGTAAATATTGTTATACATTTAAATACTTTAGTAACTACAATTTTGAATATGGTAAATATTGTATTTATATGTAAATACTTTAGTACTTATAATTTGGAATCGGTTATATTTATCAATAATTATGGTATTTATCGGTAAATACAATGTTTAATTATTGCCTAAGTCGGTGTCAAAATTTTCAAATAAATATGATATTTACTGGTAAATACAATATTTACCTGTAAATACAGTCTTAAACGGTCACCGGAGTTGGTAGCTGAATTTTCATATAGCTATGTTATTTACTTGTAAATGCAATATTTATTGGTAAATATATTTTTTACTAGTAAATACAGTGTTAAACGGTCACCAGAATCAGTGTCTGAATTTTCAGATAAATATGACATTTACTAATAAATAAGATATTTACTGATAAATACACTGTTAAACGGTCACTAAAATCAATGGCCGAATTTTTGAGTAAATATGATATTTATTAGTACATGCAATTTTTATTGGTAAATACAGTGTTTAACAATCATCAGAGTCAGTGATTGAGTAAATATAGTATTTACTAGTAAATAAAGTATTAAATAATAAATACGGTGTTTATCAATAAAAAGTGTTAAATGGTCACCGGAAGAAATCACTAAAAAACAATCACAAATCACCTAAAAATAGTCACAAGTCGCTAAAAAATGGTATACGGCCGCCGGAGCCAACCGGCAATCCCAGCTATAATGAATTTAACTGTGATCTACCTATTTTAAAAAAATTCTATAATTTACTATTTTTTTAAAAATAAATATTTAAGAATGAGTGAGGTAAAAAAGAAAATTTAGAAACATTTTTAAATTTTTTAAATTTTTTAAAAATGTTTAAAACTTAAAATATCAAATTACACTATAATTTATTATTTTTAAAAAATATGCTATAATTAACTAATTACTTTATTAATTATACTATTTTCCTCCTCGTCTCAAAAGAAAAATATATATATCAAGCGGCGATATTAAAATCAACAGAACCACCACCGTAACAAGAAAATATTAAATTAAAAAAGAGCCAAGAAAAATAGATTAAAACCTCGTAAACAGCCCAAGCACTTCATTAAGACACGCACAGAAAAGAACACGATTATGGACATGCAACCCAATTAGCAGATAGTCCATACTCCACAGCTCCGGCCGACACGTTAAAACCTAAACCATAATACCCAAAAACCCACAATGCAAGGTCAAATAATATATAATAACACATTCCCACTAGGCGAAGAAACAAACCAGACTCCCCAAGTGATAAAAAATAATGACCAAGTTAGACCCCTAACAAAGTTAAACCAAGGCGATGCTACTCTCGCCACCCGGGGGTTTGCGTACCCCCCCTAGGTAGTCTCGAGACTCTACTTTCCCATCAGCAAAGATATCGTTTCCGCTTATCTCCCGCAGCTTTGCCACGCTTAGTGATTTCTCAGCCGATGATGGAGGAGCATCACCTTTGAATATGTCATTTCCAGAGAGCTCGGTGAATTTCTTGTTGTATATTTTCTTTGCTGTTTTCAGGGGTTCATCAGCAGACGTGGCATTGCCCTGACCTCCAGCAGGCTTCAATCCAAATCCATGTACAGAACCCAGTTAGATGTTTCATGCTTTTCATAAAGGATATACAAGCAGAAAACAAACGAGTATTTTCATACATGTGCTTATAAACACAGTGGATATCTTAATGAAGAACACTAATGTTGAGAGAACAACGAGTTGATTCTCAGGTATAATGCTATAAACTAATCCAATCACAATTTTATATATGAATCTTTTACTGTTGAGATACAACAAAGATTTAGCAATTTTCCTTTTTATCCACACAAACGCGCACACAAAATTCACTTGCATAAGAAAATTTGACAGAATTGCTTACGTTAGAAGAATCGCCAATGTCTATGCTTCCTTTCAAATCCAAAGTGCGAGCAGTAGTTGGCCTGGGTAAAATTTCAGGAGGGGCAGCAAATATGTCGTGTCCACTAAGCTCCTTGCATTTAGCGTCGGAAAGCTGCTTCTTCAGTTTTGCATCTGCATCACTATCCAAGGTCCCACTCAGTTCACGCTGCTTTGCCACCTCAGGCAGTGTTGCAGGCTTTTTGGGAGAAACGCTCTCTTCGTCACCAAATGAAATATGACTAATACCTGCAATCGCTTGCTGGAGTATGAAACCAAATAGCAATATCAAGTCAATAGTTTTCCACCTAAACGACAATGCTAAATAGATATGTATTTCAATGATGATTTCTCTCTGCAACAAATGATTTACCTGGTACATGCGTACTCCTGTTTTATTATTTGGGGTAGCACTGTCAATGCCAGATTCCGCTTCATCATTCTCTCCATTGGCTACAAAAATGCCGCTACCAGTCATCTCTTTCATTTTATACCCTGAGCAAGGTTTCCTGAGGAATGCAAAGTTAACTGGTAAGAGGGTTTAAAATGAATTAAACCTGAGAAAAATCAAATTCAAGACTTCATTGCAGATTCGTATTCCTATCCATTTACAAAGAGATATCAGGATATAAGCGAAGAGAACATAGTGAAGAGGCGCCAATGAACATTCTGCCTCTTTGCCATAATTCTGATGAGTCCGCATTTTTCCACTACATGGTTCCAACAGGTCATAAAAGGAGGGCAAACAAAAGCTAATTATTTCAAAGGAAGGGTCATTTCTAAAGACCCTGAGGGATCCATACAATCAACAACTGTGATAGCAAACATTTCCAAAATGGTTCCCCAGACGACAACAACAACAACAACAACAAAAGAGAGAGAGAGAGAGAGAATAACTTCAAAAGCAAAGAAGTAGCCCAAAGATGATTAGAAGAAACTAGTATTGTCCCAACAAAGTGGTCAAATTTCTTTGTGGAATTTTTTCAGTCCTAAAACTTATGCGGTAAATACGTATTTTCAAAAAACAGCCAGGCCCAACACAAGGAGGAGCAGTTTCTATTATGCTCTCTATGCTTCCAAACTAAGAAAATGGGTTATGGGAACCTATTGCTAATCATACTTTAAAATGATTCAAGTTTCTAATACCAAAAATTGGAGCAAAATTTAATGGAATGGTATCTTAATGCACAATAAGACAATAGACGTGTGAGGTTAATTTGCTTTAAAAAAATACTTAATTGGGAAATCATCATCCAAGCTCTAGATGATTACCTTATTAATTTTCATTTCTTGTGCACAGATAAGCAAGAACCGATTATAAAAACACAAAGGAGACAGAGAATTCCAATTATTTATTGTGACTCATATTCCCAAAACACAGATCGGTGACAGATCAAAATCTGAATAATAAAACTAAACCAGAAATTGTTCAAAAACAAAGGAAAAACTGTAGTAAAAGCAGTGAAAAATAACTGAGTCAACTACTGGTAGAGTATTCAAAAAACTGCAATAAATCGCACACGAGAGAGGGAGAGAGAGAGAGACGACACGTAAGTCGCGAAACCGAGAAATATGCAAGCGAATGACAGTGAAAAGAACGGGAGAACAAATTTCTGAACGAGCTTCACTAGCGAGTGGTGAGAAAGCTCATTGTCCAAAGGAAAAAAAAAACGAAATTTCAAAAAAAATAAATAAATAACAAATAAAACGAAATTCGAAAAAAAAGCAAGACCGAAGCAGCAGATCTCACCGTTTGTTTAAATCCTGAGCCTCTTCATCCGTCACCTGCCCTCCAAAAACCACCTTGCTGATCCCATCCGACGGCTAAAATCATCGCCGTCCCCACAAGAAAACCGATCAATACACGTTAAGCCCTAAACCACCCAACCAAAAAAAAACAGAGAGAGAGAAAAGGAAAAATCGAAATCAATTGAAAAGGCTACCTGGTGGGAGCGAGCGGCGGACCGAGAAGCACCGGAGGCGACGGCGGGAGAGTCGGCCGGAGGAGTTTCAGACCAAGTGAGCAGATCTGCGGTGGATGTGTGGGGCTTCCTCACCGGCGTAGCTCTCTCCATTCTTTTTCTTCTCTTTGATCTTTCTTTTTCTGCTTCTGAGCTTCGAGTTTCGGTTCTACAGAAATGGCGGAAACTTGCGAATCTAGAGAGAGAGAGAGTTCTGTGATTCGACTGGTCTGTAAAGGGCAATACTGTGGTTTGTAGTGTAAGAGAAGAAGAAAATAAAAGTTTGGGTTTGGCTGGAAAATGACGAGGATGTCCTTGGTGTCCTTTTTCTTTGTTTCTGGGTTTGTTGGTGTCTTCTTTTAAAAAATAAAAAATTTATAATTTTATATATATATATATATATATTGAGAGTGGATTTAAAGGGAGACAATATAGAAGTGCAGTAGTGGCTACTTCTCTTCTGTTTCAAAACAAAGAAATCAATTTTTTTTTCCTCCTTCAAATAAAAACAAATAAATAGATAGATAATGATATAACCGTCCCTATATGCGAAATTTGAATGTTGTACCGCTCTCATTTTATAATCTACAATTATTTTTGGCCACGCATGTGGACCGGATTTACCGCCACATGCCGGTGACTTAAAGAGGATCAACCGGCTATTGGTCACTTGAATTTACTAGAGTGCCCTCATTTTCTTTATTTCCTGAATTACCCTCGGTGATGGATTGGATTGAACAATCAACATCCCAACACAAGAAAAAGAAAACAAAACTAGAGAACAAATAATCTGCTGTTTTTAAGTTCATCCGTGATGTATTTTGGACTCTGATGCTAACTGATGTAGCACGAGTCGTTGACTCTTTAGAATTGAAAAATAAGGAGAGGGAGCACTTTAATTTCATTCATAAAAATTACTCTTTTATAGTTATAATTGGAGCATTATATTTATAAATTATATGTTCCAAAATAAAAAAGGTGAAACCATAAATAGAATAAGGAAACTAAACAGAAATAAGAAACTAACTTAAATGTGACTTAAAATTAAGCCAAAATAAAATTTCTCTTTTCTAAAATCAAATTATTACAAAGGAAACTTTACTAGTTATTTCAAAACCTTTATTTAAGTAAAAAAATATGATTATCGATGAATTTTCCTCCGATATGAGTTGCTTTAAATTAACCAAAATAGAGAAAGATGCGCTTTTTTTTTTTTTTTTGAGGTTGCTTGCCTGGTGATATTATTATTTAAAAATAAGAATGTTACCAATCGCCATGGATTATTATCACTTATTAGTGATAACAGAACTAGTAGCTTGTGGGTTCTACTTCTACATTCCTCTCTAAAGGGGATTTCTCGTGACCTCTATGCGTGGCAAAGTCAAAAGCTTATTTAAGAGAAAATAAAAAAATGTGAGCCGCAAGTCGGGACTGTTTAGAGAGACGAAAATGATATTTTGTGAAAAGTTTTTAAAAGTGCATCATTTTCAGGTCTAAGTCCCCCATGTGAGCAACCCCCAACTCCAAGAGTTGCAAATCTCAAATGTGCTTTCATTCGTGGGGCATATTGCTAAAGTTTCACGTGTGGCTGTCATGGGCAATCTGAATGTGCCTCATCTCAGATTTTGCATAAAGCTAATGATTCTAGCTTCTTCTTTTCTTCTCCCGGAAAATAAGAACAGGGAAAAAAAAAAAAAAAAAAAGAAAGGAATACAATTGTTTTTAATATAATCATCATGGCATTGGCATTGGCATTGTGTGACGCCTAGGTGCGGTCATTTTAAGAGGGGCATTTTCGTCCTATAATTAAGTGTTACATATGTGACGTAATAATGAAGTTTTCCGTTAGACAAGAAAATCTCTCCTTGGTCGCCCGCATGCACCCGTTACGGGGAAATCGGAGATATTCAAATTCTGGTGGAGTTATAATTACCAAAAACTCCCCATAGGTTAGAAAATTTACCGAAAGGCCTCAAAGTTATATGTTCCTTCACCCACAGCTTCCGTGAAGGAGAGAGAAAAAAAAAAAAAAAAAAAAAAGTGCGTGTGGCCTCATGATTGAGGCCATTTGTGCACGCATCAGGGAGTGTGAAATGTGAACCTGGGGCACATGCCCTTGGCAGTTGGTATTCATTTTGCTCAACATTAAGGCCACTTACTTTATGCCTTTTTCTTTTTTATATTGATACTTTTGTTCCTTTTTAGTCTCATTATCCATTAAGAATTTGAAAATTGTGTTCTTTTTTTTTTTTCTGCTAATCAAAATTGTGTTCTTAATCCTGGGATCTTTGGGATACGACTCAAAAATCTTTTTAACCTGGGAACCTTTTTGTGTTAGTGCTAATTAATAAGTGTAATCTTCTTTGTCTCATCAACTATTCAAGTCAATTTCTTAGAATAAAGAATTTTAACATAGTCCAACACTAAGAAGTTGGCTTTTATGGGGGAAGGGAAATAGAAACCGGTATAAATATTTTCACTCTAACTTCTCTCTAGCACAATGAGGATGAGATTAGGGATGGCAATTTTACTCATGGGTACGGGTATCCGTGAGTATTCATTCTTAATAGGATGGGTATGTAGAATATTATATTGGGTGACGGTAAGTATGGAGACAAGAATTAGCCTTCGATTTGCAGGTGGGACGGGAGTGCAAGAAGGTCCACGATTACACATACTCTTACACATGCTCAGGTTTAGATTTATTTTTTAGACTTTGGTCTATTATAGTTAGAGTTTAAATTTGACATTAAGATTTCAATTTATTTTTATGACATTAAAAGTTATGTTGTTTAATTTTCTAATTAATTTAATGAAATTCTCTTCAAGGTTTGATAATATTACAAGTATTTTGTAAATCTTTGATGGGTTAATGAGTAGGGTATAGGGATAGCTCCTCAGTGGGGATTCCTCGACCTCGGCCTCATTTTAAATTAAACGAGTATAGTGTCAGGCATGGAGGTCAAAATGTGAGTAAAGTATGTAGGTAGAGAAAGCATATCCGCTCTCGTCACACTCCATTGCCATCCCTAAATGAGATAGGAGATTGTAAGACAATTTAGCGTGTGATTTTAATGTGTCTTAAAAGAAAGTGGAAAAAAGAAATGAGAATAAGAATAATATATATTGGTTTTAGGCTTATATATAAGTCAGTGATTCCATTTTTCATTTAATAATGTGTTTATAAGTAAACACATAAAATTGAGAGAAAAGAGTGGGAGTGTTAAGAATTTTTCATTTAATAATGTGTTTATAAGTAAACACATAAAATTGAGAGAAAAGAGTGGGAGTGTTAAGAAGAGAATAAATATCTATTTTCCTAATAAACCTTTATAAGTTTTATGTTATAAGCTAATGATTATATAATGGTGCAAAAGAACATTTTAATAATTACACTATAATATTAGGTTACTATTTCTAAATTCAGTAAATATTGAAAAGAAAATTGGATTTTTTCTTATGACATTGGACAAGAAAAAAATTAAAAAACGGGATTAATAATTTTTTTATTACTTTACGTTATTTTTCAATTCCATTACTTTGTTCATAATCTCATTACATTCTTTTTATATTTTAGTAAACGCGTCCTAAATTTCTAATAGAGAGATCAGAAGAACCTATAAAGATATAGATATAGTTATAATGGAATGTTTAAACATAATCACACGGCCTCTAATAGGAGCCTAAAAAAAATGAGTGTGTCTTTGCAAAAGAAAAAAAAAAAAAAAAAAAAATTGTTTGACATTATTGTTACTCTTTCCAACATGGTCAATATGTTATCTTTCTCCTCTTATTCTATTTCTTACGATGTGTTGAAAGTTCGATACTTCACATTGCTCCACTTTGAGGTCCCTTCATGTTTCTCCTCAATGGGTTGTAGCTATCCTTTAAGTAAAATGGAATTACGTCATTTTTGTTTCATTAATAAGTGATGCCAATCCAGGGGCAAACTGACACTAGGATGTTTGGTAGAGGGATTCGTTCCCTGATTCGAATCATGATTCGTGATTTGCTACAGTATTTTCTCTCACAAAAAATACACGTAAATCGAAAATGGTTCGAATCACATGGTTTGAATCCTCCAACCAAACGTCATGGAATCTCTCTCTCTCTCTCTCTCTCTTTTTTTTTTTTTTTTTGCATTAACAACAACATAACACGGGACCATTTTTCATTAATTTTCTCAAATAATAAAACTCATCCTCACAATTTCTTCAAGACAATTTAATTTTTCAAGCAATGTACAGTTTCCCCGAACGTGTTACACAATTTAAAAAAGCTATATATTGGACCAATACCTATTTCTCTAACAGATGACCCTACGTTTTGTTTCTCATCATTAACATGCCGGAGGGAGGAGGTGAAAAAAATAATAATTGGAGAAGAAAAATGGACCCCAAGAAAATTGTGATGAAAAAGATTAACAATATTAACAATAATTATCTGCTCCATCCTATACTACAAATACAAAATAGAAAATACCTTAAAGAAGATGCAAAACGTCGGTCTCTCCTAGGTTTACATGATGTCTCCATATTGACATCACTACCATTAAATAATATTAATGCTGCTATTCAACTGTAACTACCATCATTATCATTAGTTAATAAGTAACATATATTGATGGTAAGTGGCACAGCTGTCTCTTACTCAAATATGAAATACCTATTAGACTGCTAATCCAAATTCCAATACTGTATGAAACGGTTTAGAAAATTCCAGCTAAGAAATTGAGCCACATGATCATGAAGATCAACTCTTCACCTTTTTTTATTTTATTTTTTTTACTGGACCTTTTTTTTAAAGGAAAAACTGTTCACTTACAATACATGTATTGTATTTTCACCATTTCAAATTGTAATGGCGTATATAGATATTTCGTTCTTTTCATAGTTTAAATGATCACAATTTTAATTTTTTTATTATAGTGTTTTCTCTTATAAAAATTTGAATTATCATTTGGCTAGCAGTTTGTTTGAGCAAAACGCTAGCAAATATGTGCTTGAGCAATGATGTTATAATAACGCCTTCAAAACACTCCATAAGAAAAAAGTAAACAAATACTGAAACTAATATGTCTTCTGTATGCATATAAGGTTATGATGGTTATCCAAATATCGGTTTTCTAAAAATGTCAATATTTGTTTTTACATAAAGAATACTCTCCATCCAAACGAGTGAGGAAATGAGTGTAATTGCAAGAATTAGGATTTATGACCTAAATAATCAACTCTAGATCTCCTATAATAGGAGGTGAGCGACTATTTTTTTCTCCCTAATACATATACACGCTATAGAAAGGTTTGTCTCCAATTCTTAATTAAAAATCCGTCCGTAACATATAAAACTAGAGAGAGTAGTATGGAAACTTTTAAAAGTATAACACCGTTATAAATATACTTTTAGATATCATCTTTAAAAATTATTGTTACACATAATGTAATATAAAAGTCTGGGTCAAAAAAAATATACATATAATATAAAGGTTATGTTACACGCCCCATGCTTAAATGTATTTTTCGTTCACATTCCATTGCCTAAATTTTTATAACCGACAAAAAGAAAAGGACTTTAAAAAAAAAAAAAAAAAAAAAAGTCGATGTATGTTTCCGAATATTATTAGATATGGTTAAAATCCCATTAAAATGGAAAAAATAATATATGCAAGACTATGTAATCTTATACAAATTTTGCGACGGAAGATAAAATCCTAAAAAAAAATAGAGAGAATTATATCTAATACCCTATCCACTATTTGTAGATATATGTTTTGAATTGTTGTATTCTTATTTGATTTTATCAGTTTTTAATATATTTTATATTAATATGATTTTGACTAGAGCGTTTAGAAACATGTATTAAAAAAATCAACACTCGTCATACGTAATAATCAACCGACTACCCTAAATTTTTTTTTTCCTTGGGACTGTAGTTAGCATTAAGGTTTTACTTCTTTTGTGTATGGATCAACTTGTGAGAACACATCCACTGTACATCAACGACATAATATTTTGATAAAACTGTCAACGACATAATTGAGGTCAACACGTAAGAGAACATTTAAACATACATCATGTTGTACGCCTTAAATTCTTGTTTAGGTGTATATTTCATTACCCACTTGAAGGTTGCACCACGTAACACCAGCCAGAATTTTCCACAGATAGGCTAACCATATAATTGTCCTCTGAAAACTTGTTAATTAGAAGTCATAGAAAATAAGAGACGTTAAAGCAAACTAGTAGTCGTTGTCATTGAATGGGACCTCAACCACTATATATATATATATATATATATATATATATATATATATATATTTTTTTATATATTTTTCAAATGGTGATAA